GGAGTTCAGGAGATTGTCATGACCAGGACCACACCCCTAAATGCATTGAAGCAACTGCCATGTGATTGGTTGATTAGATAATTGCATTAATGAGAAGTTGAACAGGTGTTCCTAATAATCCTTTAGGTGAGTGTATATATATACACATACACACACACACACACACGCACACATATCTCTCTCTCTGTATACGTAATGGAATATGTAAAAATAAAAACATATATGGTTCTTATATTCTTTTCATCCTTCTTGATGTAGTATACCGTCCATTCATTCAAGCCATAATGGTGAGCAACATCCGCGTAACGCTTTCCTTCCTGAAGCATATCCAGGAGTTTTACCTTCTCCTGAATGGTCAATGTCTTCCTCTGGTGCTTAGGCTCACTACTACCAGAAGGTTTAGAAGATGCTGAATGCTTGGGAGCCATCGTAGGGCTTAAAACAAAACGAAAACAATCGGGCCGCAAGCAAGGTACGGGATACACAGAGAACTGTGAAGCGTCGGGGAAAAATCCACAAAATAGTGGGAGCGCAATAGCTGAACCGCGATATAGCGGGGGATCACTGTAATGCAATTATGCAAAAAAAAAAACAGGGCATATTAAATTATTTGACCAACCTGCAGTGAGAAGGGATAATCAAAGGAAGTTTCACTTGGCACCTTAAAAATTCTACCCAGCATTTTGCAAAAGTAGCATGTTGGGTGAATGGCACATGTAAACAAACATTTGGCTAAGCGAAGAGCCAGTAATGGCTCCTCTGAGTTTACTTTTGTTATTTAGTCAATCATTTCAATCACTACAAAATCATTAAAAACGTACTATATTAATATACACAGCGCTCACAGAAAGTCTTGGAACACTTGCTCTTTTAGAACTATAATTTGGGTTTAAATTTATGACTACTTGAAATTAATGTTTTACTTAATACTACTGGTTGTTTTAACGTGCCACATATTTTTGTAAACAAATGAATAGTAATGATTTTTGTTATTAAATTTGCAATATTTTTACTGAATTAAGCAAGCATCCCAAGACCTACTGTGAGCGCTGTAGTAGTTAGCCTGGCACACATGCCCTCACCTCATGTGCCCACCTGGCACACATGCCCTCACCTGATGCGCCCGGCAGATGAGGTCCAGGTCGTGTTTGTGTAGGAACTTGGCCACCACTTCTGCTCCAAAGGTGAAGGAGACACCGCGGTCATTCTCTCCCCAGCCTAGCACCTCCTTGTCTGGGTCAGACCACAGGAGATCACACAGCAGGCCCTGATCAGGAACATCCGTAGGTCTCATGATTCGCCGAATCTGCTCCATGGACTGGAGGTCTGGGGACAGGCCTAGCAAGTGTGGAGTGCGGGTAGTTACTACTGACTCAAGGCCTCCGGCAACAGTTCAGCTACAGGAGTCTTTCTGATGCTTTTACAATAAGTGATGGTACACCTGAAATACCAAAGACATCAAAAAGAAGCCCTTTAATAATAATTGAGAAGAAGTCAAACAGATTTCAGAATTCATGAAGAATCAGGCAAGTGTATAACTGATCTGTAATGTGCTGGAACACAATATTTTGTCATAAAGTTATGTTGAACAAAGAAGGCCAACAATTGCTTTGAGCATTTATAAAACTCTTCCACAGTGTTGGACATTTCGGGTCCAGTAGCTACAAATCCAGATCAAGATTCTGTTTCTACCAACCAGTTGAGTACTCTGTGACTCTTTATAATCATACTCAACAAAATCTTGGTTTGGATTTGTAGCTTCTGCTCTTGAAATGCCCAACACTGCTCTTCCATGGAATAATGTGGGATTCATTCATCCATTTTCTGAAACCACTTATCCTGTCCAGGGTTTTGGTGGGTCTGGAGCCTACAGGAACAAGGCAGGGAACAACTCAGGATGGGGCACAAACCCATCACAAGGCACACTCACACACCACTCACACCTACTGTATAGGCAATTTGGTAAGCCCATTTAGCCTCAGTATGTCTTTGGACTGTGGGGGGAAACTGGAATACCCAGAGGAAACCATGCAAAGACATGGGGAGAACATGCAATCTTCACACACATGGAACTCTGGCAGAGACTCAAACGCAGATCCCAGAGGTGTGAGGCAACAGTGCTAACCACTGAACCATCATGCCGCGTTCATGTGGAGTTCATGAAAAGCTAAAAGAGCTGATTGACCTGGAACGTTCAGTACCAGCTTGACTCCAAAGCTTGCACTGATATCTCACCTCCATGACAGCAGAAGATCTTCTCATCCACAATGGCAGCGATGGGGAGGCAGTTGAAGCAGTCGGTGAATGTCTTCCACAGCTTGACACTATGCCGCCTCCTACCTAAAAAACAGGAATCCATGCACCATGAAAATAGCTCACGAATAGATCTCCTAACTCAAGGTAAAATATGTGGGAATCGTGGTGGTTGGCAGGGCGTCGGCAAACTGACACTCATCGTAGAAACCGTATATCCTGTTGATGGAGGCACATTCGTGATTTCCCCGTAGCAGGAAGAAGTTCTCAGGGTATTTAATCTTATAAGCCAACAGCAGGCAGATGGTCTCCAGTGACTGCTTTCCCCGGTCAACATAGTCACCCAGGAACAGGTAGCTGCCCTCTGGCGGATATCCGCTATACTCAAACAGCCTTAGGAGGTCATAGTACTGGCCATGGATGTCACCTACAGAGAATGCAGTCAAATCGGTACTGAACATTAACACAAAACAATGTGTGTGTGTTTGTGTGTGTGGGTCCAACCAAATGTCCCCACAATGTGATAAAAACCTGTTATTTTAACATTATAGGGACCATGTTTTTGGTCCCCACGAGGGGAAACTCAGTTTCCTAAAAGACTGTGACTTCAATCAAAAAATTAAAAGTGCCAAAAGTCTTGCATTTCGTTTGGTTACCTATGGTTAAGGCTAGAGCTGGGTAGGGGTTAAGGTTGTCATTGTTGGTATATATATATATATATATATATTATATTATATAATATCTGCAGTGTTGGGTATTTCAAGTCCAGAAGCTACAAATCCAGACCAGGATTTTGTTTCAACCAACCAGATGAGTACTCTTTAAAAATAACTCTATTATTATTATTACTTCTTTGACTGTGACTCTTTATGCTCAACTGGTTGTTAGACACAAAACTTGGTCTGGATTTGTAGCTTTATGTGTGTGTGTACCTCAGTTTAAATGGACTTTATTTTCGTTCACTTATAATTAGCACGAACTACCGTAAGTCCGACAAATAATCCAACTAATCATGAAGTCCAATTCTAGCCCGGTTAATCGCCATTGTTAGCAATATCAGTTGATAATACATTATGCGCGGGCCTTTACATATAAAACTCCGTAGCAACACATCCACAGATAAGTTGGACGGTATAGCGTGTGCGACCGATTTAATGAGCCACAAATGAGAAGTAGTGCTTAAACAGTATAAAACTACAACTTTCCCTTCTGTTGAGAAACAGGAACGTATGCTGTCACTTCCGGCTTCAAAACTCCGGAATCCGACTCGGAATACGAGTTCCGAGGGCAAATGGAACGCACCAAAACTGGCCGAAATGGGTTGACAGACACATTTCAGGGATTTTGAGCCATTCTGCGCTGCAGATGGGTTAATTG